AGGTACCCAGAAATTCTGCAGCACATATTTTCCCCTATCTTGGGTGAGTTGTGACTGCTCAAATTCAGATATCATGGACTGACCATGAAAAAAACCAAAAAACCCAACTCAGGTCTCAGATAAGACTAGTTGGAGTCAGAAATAAGCAGTTCTTTTCCTAAACTGAAGACTTCACTTTATTATTTAAGATTAACATTTTGCTAATATTCACACATCCTCCACCAGAAGCAGCTCATCATTAATTAAGATGTCAAAATGCAGCTAATGAGGGGGAAAAAAAAAAGTCTTTTTTGCAGTCAGTTTTGTTTGAAGATCATAAAGATGATTGGAAAATACACTTCTCATTTAAAGCTTACAGCTTGAAAGTGCAAACCTAAGTTTGAAATATCTCAGTTGGCTCCCCAACATTAAATATCGGATATTGCATGATCCAATTATTATATTCAGCAACTTTCTTACAGTTACAGTGATACTTATTGTGGGGGTGGAACAAGTGTAAAAGCACAGACACCTGAATACCATTCTACCAGCTCTGCTGTTGATAATTTGCTGGAACTAGACCCTGCAGTTGTAGGCCAACTCTATGAGAGATTTAAACTGGAGTGTTGCCTGTAAGCCAGGTGACTAAGGGTCATTTAACAGCAGCTAAAAAGGCTCCTACACATAAGGAGAGATGACGTTGCTTCTATGTAAGGCCACTTGACAGTAATCAGGTGATTTCTTCTTGCTTTCTGGCTCTGCCTTCAGATTTAAAAAGACAACCCATTAACACACAGGTACAAGAACAACTGGTGGTCTCTTCACAATAATACAATTATCAGGTAAAAGATAGAGACCCTGACAGACTGACCTTCCATAGCTCTCTGGGAAAGAGAAAAAAGAAAAAAGGTTCCTCTATTGATGATTCTGGCTGCAGCTTGGACAAGGACAGAAAGCTGAGGGAAGAATCAGCTTTTAAAGGAGAGAGGATCACTTCTACTGGTTTTGGTCTGAAACAGGTATATCAAGAATAACTTGCTAGCTCTGCTAGATACAAGTGATATTATTTTGTATTCAAGCTAAATCAAAATCAGAGAAATATACTATGAAATAATTTTGGAGACAAGGAGTTCACTGCACCATAAGAACAGAGACCACACAGAAATTCTTGTTGACACTCTGTGACCAGAGATCAAACTCTACTCAAGCCCCAGGTAAGAATCAATTAAACCATTAGTTTGAGCTGCAGAATATACTATTTCCTTAAGTAAACTTACATATAGTGAAAAGAAGGTGCTCTTCTGAAGTACTTTTCTGTTTCTTCTCCCAGTTTATGCCAGGCATTACTAGGTAAATAGCCACCTGAACTGCCCTCAGAATCACTGTCATTTTCTTCTACTTCTATGCGATTTATACCCATGAATGTTAGCTACAAAAGAAAAAAGCTGCAGTGAAAATTCACTTAGAGAAAGATCAGTAGATACATTAACGGTGAAATCTGTATTATGGTGTTAGTCATGCTAGATTAATATTTAGTATCACTGCCTAAGAACCTTGGCTTTCCTGAAGATACTGTGAAAAAAAGCATTCACATACAGACTATTTATGTTCTGCAAGCAATAAAAACAAGAGCTACAGGTAAATAAAACTGCCTATATCACAACAGAATTTCCAGAATGTATGAAGTAGCAAAGAATTACTTAAATTGCACTATAAAGCTAAGATGTCTCTCAGTTTCTGAACACCACACACTTCTAGGAAGCCTAGCTCCTCAAACACCATACAACAACAACAAACCTGCATCCACCAAGCCTGACTTCCCCCAGAAAACAATAAAACTATTGAACTTGATGGTTATTTATATTGCAGAGGTTCAGACTTGACCAAAGACTCAGAATCCTTATTAATCCACTAACGTAAGAGAAAATTTCCAGAGGGGAAAAAAAGACCACTTCAAAGTTCTTCTGAACTGACTCTTCCACGCAGTCACAGCACAAAGAGACAAACATGTCAAGTCAAAAGCACGCACGCCATCCAAAGTCCCATTTCATGTCAGTGGCTCAGGGCTTCAGGACTCCACACCAAAACATATAAAGCATCAGACGGGATAAAGAAACTACTTAACTCCTGGGAAGCTACAAAACAGTGAGCATAAAAAAGTGCACAAGACTACTCTAAGAGCACAAACAGACCGAACTGTGATAAAGTACCAGCAATGTAACAATGCAGGGGGTTGTCTGCATTTTAGGCTAGATTTTTCCCTATGCCTATTGGAAATGCTTAACAAATTTAAAACAATTACCAACACTACCCGAAAGTTAATCAACAAAATTCATAAGAATAGTGTTAAATTCCATCAAAACTGTCATATATTGCCTGGCAATCTAGCTTTTATTTTACAATTCTGTAACAAATAGGGCAAACCTATAGCAAAATCATGGCAAATTCAGGGTCTAGAACTTACCAAGTCTTCTGCAAACTGCAGGGAATCAAATGCTGTCATCTCAGAGTGCAACTCATTGGCCTTCTCCTTTACTAGATTTGATGCTAGGACAAGAAATTGGGCATCCAGCGCAGCCTCTCGTGAACAGTGAACTGTTACAGAAAAAAATGCATGTTAATAATATGAAATTGTCAGAAGGATAATAATAAAATTTAGCACACAGACTATCCTGGGTATAGAGCTTCGCAAATGACTTTATGGCAATGACCTCTAACACAATTACTTACATAAGCTTTCTAATAGTATTCGTTTTAAAAAAAGAGAGAAAGGAGAGAATGACATTGACAAAAGCAAGCATGGAAAAACAACCCATTATCTTAAAGAATAAAATGCTTTTTTCCTTGACATGTTTTCTTTCTCTCCAAGTGAAATGAACCTCTCTATGCTAATAGCTTTTATATGTACCCCTTGCATGTATTGTTCTACAGAGTCAAGATAAAGCAAGGAGTATTTCTAAATGCAAGTAAACATTTATGATATTTATTTTCTCATATGAACTTATTCAAATAATTCCTCTTCAACTAAGCATGTATCTTACAAGTTATACTTCAATAACTCTGACAAAGTACTTGGACCTCAGCTTCATTCTCTTGCCCTTCTTTGTTTTCAAGGCACCATCACCTCACACCTGGCCAACTGTCAAGCAAATACCTCCTATAGGGACCAGAGCATTTGTTTTACCTCCACTAAACAGTTTATTGGCCTCTTCCAAAGCTTCTGTCAGCCTGTTGCTCTTCGAACTCAGCATATCCTCACGATTTTCTGGGGGGAAGGGACACAAATGAAATCCTAAATTACTTAAATATAAAGCATCAAGAAATACATACTTACACCTTAATCAAAACTGGCTGGTTCATAGCCCATTATACACACAAAAATACAAAATATAATTATAGTGCAGTAATTGCAAGATTATGTAGGCTCCGTTTTTATTAATACTTATACATGAACTCAGTTTGAAGTAGTAATTTTCCACTTACTTATAGTGCAAATTACTTATATGGTTGAATTTATGTTAGCAGATCCCAGATCCCTCTTGGTTCTGGTAAAATACTTGTACCTGTGTCAAAGCAGCTACCAGCTACCATAGTTTTCTGTATGTTGTTATCTTAAACCTAAGTTTCTACCAATTTTCATGACAAACAAACCCCCAAAAACGCATTCTTGGTAATTTCCGAACATCACCACGTCAAACAGGTTTAACGAGGCTTTCAGATGCTCAGCTCTGAACAGCTACTCACAGCACAGCTTTTAAGGACATACACATTAATGCACTGACATCCCACTGTTGATTTTCCGCATAAACACAGACTGGATCAGCCATAAACCGTGCTGTATTCCCTTGTAAAAGAACCCTACAAATTTAGCAACTATGCAGAAAACAGTCAACACCACATGATGCCAAATTCGGCAGTCCTTACTCCAACAAGCACCGTTATGCTTCCCTGAGAAAAACGGCACACTCCAAACGTACAGGGGTGGAGTACTGACACACCTATCTATAGAGAGATGCTAAAAATCCCATAGCGCTTTCTGGAAAGCCCAAGAATAACTTTCTGGTCCTGGCAGACCCTGGTACCTGCAGTTTCAAATTAAAGCTCGAACACCATGAGCAGAAAATTAAAAGCTTTCAGTGTATCTCCAGATCTAAGGCCCACAGTTCCCTGCATCGATGCAATCCTACATGTTAAGGGCAGGTAAATCCCTCGTAACTTTCCTATCCCTGGGCACCAAATGCTTCCTGGATGACAAATTTCAATCTGTCTACAGGCCCCAAATCTCAGCAGTCCAAGGAACTTGGGAGTTCCCGGGAAATCCTGAAGAGTTCCTCGAAGAACAAGGACAGGCCACCAGCCCAGCACACCTCCTCGGGTGCCCCGGCACCACCCGCA